TCACCAGAACTCTTTAAAGTGGATACTATAGCCCTGGCCAATTTGCTCAGTGGTTAGAGCATCAGCCCATGGACCAGAGAGTCCCGGGTTCAGTTCCCGCTAAGGGCACACACCTTGGTTGCAGTTCGTCCCTGGCCCCGGTTGGGGTCGTGTGGGTGGCAACCACTCGATGTGTCTCTCTCACATCGATGTTTCTCTCTCTCTCTTCCTCCCTCTCTCCCTCCCACTCTATCTGAAGATAAATGCAAAAATGTCCTCAGATGAGGATAAAAAAAATTAAAGTGGATATTAATGTTATCGGTATTTTTTGGATGATGAAACGTTATGTAAGTTAGCAAGTCAGAGAGTATGATTTCAGAGCCTGTTCATGATACAGTGCAGGGCCTCTGGTGGGCCCAGCTCTGCACAGCTCTACAGACGGCACCACCCCACGGGGGTCCGCGTGCCGTGCTTTGGCCCCACGGGGAAACATGGCCAGGAAAGACGGCAGTGTGTGTGGCAACCAAACACGATAAAGGAATGGATATGGCTTATGTTTTTAATGTGTTTGCATATACCATCTGGGTATACTGCCTTTTCCAAAATTCCACTGTATATTCTGATGGGAAACCTAGCACTGGGTTTTCTCTGGGTCCTTTGAAGAATAACTGGGCTATCAACAATACTAAAGGGGACGTATCACAGAAATGACAAATTTATAGGACATTTAAATCGCAATGAAACTTTGGGTTAAAATATACAGTAGTCTGGGAGCCCCGTAAAAGTAAGAGGCTCACGCTGCTCGGATGACGCTACAGGCAAAAGATGTGCTGAAGGATGGACAGTAAAGATTATTTTATTTCACGTTTAAATCCGTGAGCAGACGGCCACAGTATCAGAGCACCAGGCTCTGCAGCCTCTGTATGGAAGGTCTGCAAGTTCCAGAGAAGGAACAGCTACACTCAACAGGGCGCGTGCCCAGGAAGCTTGCAAGGGGCTGCTAGACGTTTCTGGTCACACAGCCTAACGCACAAGCCCACAGTCACGGAGTTCCCATTTATCCACATCAAGCTCTTTCCTCACACGGCACTGAGCGCAGGCAACCAGAAACAGATGTGTCTGCACAAGTATAAAAAGAGGAAAAGTAGAATACTGCTAGAGAAATTGCAAAAATCTAGAAAGAAAGGTGAAGGCCCAAGGCTCGTAAGGCAGAAATGGACCCCTCAGAAGCTTGGGAGCGAACGCAAGTTATTCCTTAAGTATCAGGGCACAGGCAGGGGCGTGCTGCTCGGACAGGCTGCCTTGGCGTCCCGGGAGCAGGCCTCGTCTCCTGGCCTGGGGAAACTGATCGAACTGTTCCACTTCCACAGATCTCCGGAGTCTAGTCCCTGACCCAGAAGGGGGCAGCACCGGGGCCTGTTAGAGAGGGCCATTCTCCGTCCAACCCTGCCCTGCTAAGTCAGGAACTCTGGGGCGGGCCAGCACTCTGTGCTTCTAGGTGATTCTGATGCACACTCCAGTTTAAGAAGTGCTGATTCAAGCGAACCCTGCCTTAAATTCATATGAAAAAAGTCACACGGTAAAGGGGAGAAAACTGTTTTCCTTCCTACAAATCCCACATTCAGTGTCAAACTAGACACGAAAAGTAAAATCCAAAAAACTCTATTGAGAAATTTTCAGATGTGAAATGGACTTGATTCTCATTTCCTGTACAGAAAACAGCATGAGGTTTATTATGAGTAGCAAATAAATGTAAAATCCCAATAAAATTACAAAATGCAACCTATTTTTATATTCATGGTCCACTTGAGGATCATAGTGCTCCGGGAGCCCTATCTGGTCATCAGTTTTTCTAATGGACTCAGGAACTCAAAGGATACATAATTATAATGACCTTCTGAAGATATTCATATATTTAAATGTGGTATATTTTATATGCAATAATTTTGAAAATATATATTCCTTTAATGACAGTTGCTAAAGCTGGCAAGAAACTGAAACGCACATCACACCCTGGGGTGAGTGGGGTGTTGTGAGTTAGCACAACTCTCAGGAAAGTGATTTGGCAATCTGTGTTGAGCCATAAAAACAACCATACTCTCTGAGCTATTAAGGCTACTTTTTTTCAAATTAAGAATTAATTCCCCCAATTAAAAGTTGTATGTACAAAGATGTCTACTATAGGCTGCAAATGCAGGAGACAGGATGTCTAACATTATGAAAGTGGTTAATAAAATATCGTGTGACCATCTGAAATAAAAACAGATGCCCGGCCGGTGTGGCTCAGTGGTTGAGCGTTGACCCATGTACCAAGAGGTTACCAGTTCAATTCCTGGTCAGGGCACATGCCCAGGTTGTGGGCCCGATCACTGGGGGGGAGGGGGGGGCATGCAGGAGGCGGCCAATTGATGTTCTCTCATTTATGTTTCTATCTCTCTCTCTCTCCCCCTTCCTCTCTAAAGTCAACAAAGAAAAAAATTTTAAATAAAAACAGACTATTTAATAACATTAAAAGGCACACACGGATAAAAACTATGACACAGAACAGTACCTAGACGATGATCACAACTAAGTAAAAAATATACACATATAGAAGTGAAAAGAAACATGAATCTGGAATCGAAGGGCAACATTTTTCTCACTTTTTCCCTACTCGGCTCATTTCTTTCTATTTTGGTGGTAATAATTAAGATGTTAAGATTAACAAAACAGGTTTGTAGGCAGTGTGGAACATTCTCGAGTTTAAGTTTAAACATTTCTCTGTATGTTTGGTGTGCACGTGAGCATACGAATATTTATGGTGAAGGGGGACTAGAGAAAAAGACAGGAGAATATCAAATTAGTCATTGCCAAGGGTCAGTAGCTGATTTCCAATGCTAATGACATACCCGTAACTCCCCCTAAAAATCAAACCACACCATAAAAGAGATGCTTGGGCCACAACACTTCAGGAGCCAGAAAACAATCTAAATGATGGCGTAAGGGGGAGAAAAAAAAAATAAGAAAACAACCAAATATTCTCTTCTACCCTTCATCCATTTTTTTTTTTTTTTTATCCTCACCCAAGGACATTTTTCCATTTTCTGTACAGATACAGTGGGAGGGAGAGAGAGGAAGAGACAGAGAGAGAGAAACATCGATGTGAAAGGGACACATCGAGTGGCTGCCACCGCACGACCAACCAGGGCCGGGGACAAACTGCAACCGAGGTACGTGCCCTTAGCGGGAACCGAACCCGGGTCTCTCCAGACCGCAGGCCGACGCTCTAACCGCTGAGCCAAACCGGCCAGGGCTTTTTTTTTTTTTTCATCCATTTTTTTTTTCAAAAATAATGTTAAACATGGGCTGGATCAAGCCAACTACCACTGGTTGAGCTACACTCTAAATGGATGATGGCAATTTCACACCGAACATTAATCACAGCTGATCTTGAAAAGCCACGTGGGTCTGTGCCTGTGACACAGGATCTAGTTTGCAACATGAGTTCTTACATAGTCCAAATCCCAGGTTTCTGCTGAGCCCGGCTCCCTTTGCACAGGCTTGTTGGCCCGGCTCCAGCACACCCGCAACCAGTCAGCTACCATCCTGGCCCTGGAACATGAGCTTCCTCTTAGTCTGGGGCGAGTTCCCCATCACATGGTTTATAATAACACCGATCCTTCTCTAAGATGTCTGTTCAGATATACTTATCAGAATTAGATTCTCAGATCCAAGGATCTCAAGAATGATTGGGGAGGCGGAAGGGGAAATAAAGTCGATGTGCAATTTCAGGCAAAGTTCAGAACTTTATAAACTAGCACAAGTCTCTCTGTTGCAAACAATTCTCAAGGCGCTTGAATGGCACAAAAGGCTAGTCGGTAGCTCCCAATGGTTGAGAAATAATTACCAAGAAAAATGTTCGTGATTCTATTAAAACAAAAGTACTTTAAAAGAACTGTCGGGTTGCAATGCATGTGTGTTTATGTTTAACCTAAAACATTAGGTTTGGTATCCTTACAGAGTTTGTTAAAAGCAAATAATACTCTGCTGCTAGGGAAGGGAAAAAAAAGCTACCATGAAGACATGCCAATGTTAATTATTGTACACCAAAACTATACTAAGTTACCCCGATCCACTTTCCTCCCAAGAATCTCAATCCTTACAAGGAAATATCAGTGGGTGGTGGGATGGAGCACACATCCTCTGTGAAATGAGATTTCCAGTTGTGAAGGTATTTCTAGTTGTGAAAAGGTTGATTCAGTCGACATAAAAGACTCTGCTATAAGAACAACTTTGTGGGTAGAGGGGTCATGTACAATATGAAAGAGTATATGTAGTACTTTCAGAATACAATGTACTTGAAGTAAAGTTCAACAGTGTATTTGTGGCTTATCTGGATACAGGAAAGACAAGAGTAAGAGTTTATTGTAGGGGACCCTGGTAAAAATGATTGAACACATGCTTCCCTAATCGCCAAGGCGACACCATTTCATGATCTGACTTACAAGAGTACAGTGTAAGTCACCTATTCGGGCCTCCTGAAGTTAAACTTCATGTATACAGCCTGCTTCTCACGAGGGACTGACTTCTGCATGTACAACCTGAGCCTTTTCTAAATAATCTAAACTTAAGTAACACTATCTGAAACAGCAGAACTCACCCTTAGATTTACTTGTTCACTCTCCTCACATTAAACCTCATTTGTGAGAAGAGCAAAGAAGGAGGGAAGGTGGAAAGAAAGGCAGAATAGGAAGAGGAAGAAAAGAAGGAAGGAAGGAAATAGGGACCAATGAAAAGAAAAAACAAGGAATAATTCATCTCTTCCAGAAATATTCTTTTCCAACCATCATTTCCTCTTGCGCAGTTAAAATACAATGCCATCGCCTTCCACCTACCCCTCAGAAATCAAATACAGATGCCGGCCGCTTGACAAGTAGGAGTCAGGGAACGACGTGGACTTAAATATCCCTTTTGCCCCTTTAAGGGTAGCAGAATCAGCAGGCCTTGAACACGGACAATATGATATTAGATCAGATACCTACCATTGCTCACCATCCGCCTGGCCACTTCCCACAAGACAAGTCCAAAAGCCCAAATATCGACTCTCTTGTAAGAATCAAAGCAATCCACCTGGATGGTTTCATCTAGAACTTCGGGGGCCATGTAGCGTTTGGTGCCCACGCGTGGGTTGTTCCCCACGTCGAGCTGATTGGTGCTCTGGGAATGCATGACTGCCAGGCCTGGAAGGAGGAAGACAACAGTGTGAAGCGGCGCATTTCCTCGCTCAGAGAGAACTGCTGCAGAACTTTAAACCAACCCCCATCACAGGCACCCTCTGTGGTCCCAGGTCACGGTGGCATTACACTCAGAGGCATCTCTGCAGTGCCCACTGTGATCACGTCTGTGAGAGCAGGAACACAGACTGTTGTCAGCAGCACTGAGGCTATTAGGTTAACATATATATGAATGTCTGAGACAAAAAGTTCCAAGTAAATAATGAGCTAATGCACCAAACCAAGGGGAGGCCGCGGTTTGAAGTCCACAGAAAACAGGCTCACATCTCAAACGGGAGCCTCACAGTGGCCCAACAAGAAGCCAGCGATGTTCTCAGGCTGCACCACAGCTCCCACTAGTCTGCAAACACAAATTTCAGTGCAAGACAGAGAATTTGAAGTAATTTATCACTACACAAAGGGCTGCTTCATTACTGAAGAATGAGCTGCTCACCAGAACAATAACACCGACCAAACCCACGGCCTCTCTCGATAGTCACGTGTAGAGAACATTAACCTGGACCTCATTAAAGCACAACTTTTCTGTTAAATGGTTTTGAAGCACTTTCCTAACACCATGACTCATTTCCGAACTCCCCAGTCCATGAGAGGGACCTGGCATTCCTCACAGACCAGGGGATTGCACAGATGCATGCATGGCTGACTTGCAAATGGAATTATTTTTTGATGCATATGCAGACCAAGTGGAATTTATTCTTGTAACACTCAAAATAATAAAAAATAGTGAAGTGGAATAAGCAGCCCCTGTAAGCCTTTGCAACCCAACAATCCTTTGGGGATCCCACAAGCCATCAATGGAGAATGTTTCCCTTCCCACTCCATGGCTCTGGATGTGTGGGATCATGACACCATATCATACCAGGGAGACAGCACATGTTATCTCAGCCTTAAGAATTACCAAATATATCAGCAACTTCATTAGACTAAATCAGACTGGTCCCCCTTTCCCTTATTTTTATTCTATGGCCACTGTAAACATTTCCCAAATCATACAAGCCGCTCCACTATTTCCAGTACCAAAGAGTCAAAATAACATAGTAAAAAGGAGGTTTAAATAGAGCAGGGAGATACTAGCTGTGTCAGTTTAAAACTAAGCCCACAAGTTTTCTGAAACTTCTCATTTCAAGAGGTGAAGCTCAATTCCCCACGCCTCGAGTGTGGGCTGGACTATCAAGCAGAATATGGCAGAAATGAATGTATATCTTCAAACTTAGGACATAAAAAGCATGAGTAAAAGGGTAAATATGGCTTTACGTACAATGTCACTATAAATAAAAATAATCTTACTTATAATGCAATTAAAGCCACACTGAGCGTTACCCTAACACCACATGAAAAAGATATTCTAGCAGGCAGAGCAAATGGTAAATTGGTTTGGGGATTTTTTTTTCCTCTTTCTTCATTGATAATTTTGATGTGGTTATAGAAGAACAACTTTAGAAACGATTTTTAAGACAAAATCATTCTGTATGCTATCTGCGTGTGTACCCACTTTGTGTACGGGGTTGTGAAATCAGAATGCAACAATGTGGCGGGCTGGGGCAGAGATCGACTCAACGAGCATGAGGTGATGGTTTTGGATAATGGGAAAGTCTGTGCCTCGATAGGGATTTAGATTTTACAACATTTGTCAAAACCCTGAGGATGTATACCTAAGATTAGTGCATTTCCCATAAAATTTAAATTTTACCTATAAAGAAAAATAAACAAACAAATAATGAACTCTAGTGAATGATATAGTGGTGTGCATGCTGAAGTCTTTGGAGGGAAGAGCTCTTTTGTCTGTAACTTACATTGAAATGTATCAAAGATTAAGAAGAATTTGTGAATGGGGATAGACGAGTATGTGATAAAGTTTAAGAACAGTATAATATTAATGAGTGCATCTAGGTGACTGGGATTCGGTTGTTCACTAGGAAGTTGTTTCAATTTGTCCGCATGCTTGAAATTTTTCACAGCAAAATGTTGGCAGGGAAAGGAGGCAACTTTGTTAACATGGGAATACAACAAAAGTAAAAACAGTAATTAAAAAAAAAATATTTGCAAACATTTACCCAAATCTGCTATGCAACACTGTCCATTCTTCTTAACCAGAATGTTTTTGCTTTTTAAATCTCGATGAGCAATGGCCGGTTTCCCTTGGGTCCCAAATATCTCTATGTGCAAGTGTGCAAGACCACTAGCTATGGACAGCACTATTCGCAGGCAGCTAACTGTATCCAGAGTAGTAAGCTGAAGATAGTCGTACAATGATCCCATTTCATGATAATGTGTGATTAACCACAACTGGGTACTGGAGTGTCTTGATGTCATGTCTGAAGCAATGAAACCTGAAGAGAGCAGAAACAAAATTAACAGACATATGAGAAGTCCACATTATAACTTTCAGTATCCAGAAATAGTGATCCATGCAGTAGACATCACCTATAACAAATAATAATTAAACTAACCATCTGCCATGAAAATAGATTTACAGAAGCATCAACAAAGGAAAATGATAGTAGTTATTCCTTAAAAGGGTACTGCTAATGAATAGGAAAATTTCATGTTCATTGCCATGGTAAAATCATCCTTTAAAAAATATTCTATATTGCATTAAGATGTAAAGAGAAATATTTTTTTTGTGTGCTTACCCATAATGATAGTGCCAAACTCTTCCTCACACTGATATTCCCAGCACAGATCATTCAACTACCCAAAAAGAGCAGACACCTAAAACCTGGTTATCTGTCTTCCAGTCCTGACTCTGCCTGTGATTTGTTCTGTAATACAACTCATTTAGGCTCCTTGGAGTCTCTTGGATTGGTTGTAAACTAAAGGGTCAGTTTATGTTAAATGATTAATAGATTCATCAAATAAAAAAAGGAACCAATTAAATATAACAAGCATCTTATGATGCTCTTTGTCAGTTACACAGGAAAAGCAAGAGGATAGTGTTTTTAGCTGGAAAAGAAGACAGATATAAATATAAAAAGGAAAAAGTTACAACAGAATGTGAAAGGTACTTCGTGAGCCCAGAGTAGAGAATCATAATAATTCAGACCACATGTTTCAACAGGGTTCCACCAGGAAGTTACAACTGGTCTTGAAGAGAAGTGAAATACTGACAGATGTCAACAAAGAGGTAAAAAGAAACTTTTCTAGATACTCTGTGGGGACTTTTGAGCACAGTGAAGGAACTATATAAGTCAGAGGCACTTCCTAACCTATGGAATAAATTGTGATATGTGTACTTGTCATTTTTGCTACAGAACTGCTTTTCTAGCATTATTCTTCTCTATATATTATGTTATATAATAATATTCTTCTATATATTTTATAAAGAATAATGCTAAAAAAGCACTTCAGTGCTCTTTATATATTATATATACCATATATAATATACATTATGTATCTGTATACTATAATACTATAACCTACATTTGCCCTACTGTGTATTATAACACAATATACTTTATAATATATGTATTGATTATAATATATAATGTCACATACATATATATAATGTTATGTATATGAACCTTATAGGTAGCAAAGTTTGGGACATATAAATAGAAGATAAAAATTATTAAAAGACAGATATGGTTTGAGGAAGAATTTAATGATTTGTGAAAGTGTCAAGTAAAAGAAAAATGCATGAAATGCCTTACCATCACACAGCACTTTGTGTAAAATTTACATCACTTTCACATATATTTTTCTCATGGGATTTTCCTCAATAGACCAGTAAGATAGATATCATTATACTCATTTTAGAAATGACGAAGTTGCTGCCGGGAGATGCCAAGAATCACAAAGCTATTAAATTGCAACCCCAACTTTGGAGCTAGCTTTTCTGGTTTACCATACCTCGCATAGAAAGCTCTGGGAATGGACAAAGGTCTTGTCTTAGAGCAGCATCATTGACAATAGAAGCAGCTATCCATTCTTGAGCACTAACAGCGCACCAAGCACTTCACGTGCAATCCTCCAACCACCACATGAAGCAGGTGGATTACATCCCTGACATTAGGGCCAGTCACGGTCCCCGGCAGTCTGGCTCTAGAACCCATACCCTCACCCCCAAACAAGTTGACTTCTACTCAGAGGAAAACAAGTTAACATTTGTAGCCATGGAACATCCGTAAAGTGAACAAACAGCATCCCCACACTTTGATTCCTATCCCTGTCCCCCTCTTCCCCTGGGATGGTCCCCACAGCCAGTCTCAGTCTCTCACTCTCTTGGCTGCCGACTCCACAGAGCCGGGGTTCCCTGGAGCCCTGAGCTGGCCAGAGCATGGATCAAGATGGTACTTAGACATGAGTAATTCTTACTCAAGGAAATGTTTCTGCTTTATCTTTTTAAATCAAATATTAATCTTTAATGACTTTCTCAAAAATAAATACCCCAAAATATAAAAGCACCACTCAAAAGAAGTTAAATTACTGCTGTATACTTGGGTAGCCTCTACTGATTTCTCCCCCGGAGGGAGAGCAACACTTGATTAGAACAATAAATAAATGACAAATAAAACGTTATTCTCTCACCTTCCCTAAGCCCCTGGGGTCTTAAGGAAGAATTCTGTCTGTCCCATTAATTATGCTCTGGACCAGCAACTTTCAACATGTGTGCTGCAAGAATTTTTAAAACATGCAGTACCTGACTATTCAGTCAGGGGCACTGACCTCTTTCTGCTTCAATTGTCAAATTTAAAAAATGACAACAGCTGCCCTGGCCGGTTTGGCTCAGCGGTTAGAGCATCGGCCTGCGGTCTGGAGAGACCCGGGTTCGGTTCCCGCTAAGGGCATGTAGCTCGGTTGCAGTTTGTCCCCGGCCCTGGTTGGTCATGTGGGTGGCAGCCACTCGATGTGCCTCTTTCACGTCGATGTTTCTCTCTCTCTCTCTCTCTTCCTCTCTCTCCCTCCCACTCTATATCTGTGCAAAAAATGGAAAAATGTCCTCGGGTGAGGATAAAAAAAGAAAAAAAAAAATGACAACAGCCAACACAACACCAGCTGTCTGTGTGAATGCCCTGTCTTGAACCATACATATATAGGTCATATAATAGACTGGCATCTTATTGGTCACGTTGCATAATAAGGTTGCTTCTGATTGGTTAATTCTTAGTACCAGAAATCCTTATATGCATGTATAGGCATTTAATTTTTTAAAAAAGTTATTTGAGCAAAAAGGCTAGGTAATTACTATTACTACTATTTTTTGTAAATCAATAAAAAGTATACCTATTTTTGGTCAGATCGACAAAAATATATAACATTTTTTTTTTGGTGTGCTGCAGAATTTTAGTAATTAGATCATGTGTGCCATGAGATGAAAAAGGTTGAAAATCGTGGCTCTAGACGTTCAGAAAAAATAACTTTTAAGTAAGCAAGATTTTAAAAAACTATCTTTCAGGTATGAATTATATTACTACATTTTCTTCAGAACGCTAGAGCATTTTTCTAAGACATTTGCGTTTTGAGTCAAAGCGCCGAACTGTTTGCAGAGGTCGAACAGGTGCCGGAGGCTGGAACTGGGGCACCGTCACTGGACGTGTTCACAACAGGGGCAGGAAGTGAACAGCCAAAGTCATCCTCCCAGGCTCCTCAAGGGCTCAAATAAAACCCCAGATCTGAAGTGAAGTAGCCAGTGCTCCCGAGAGCCTCCTGGCAACCTCCCAGGAACCCGGCCCGGGCAGCCCTGCAGGCTGAGGAGCCAGGCCCCGCACAGGGGAGCAGCTCCCGTCCCCTACCGGCTCCCCCATTCCCCAGCGGCGGGACCTCACGCGGCTCACAGAAAATGTCCACCTTACTTTCCTCGTTCATAAGACAAGGATAACGTCATCATCTCCCTTAAAGGGTTACTGTGGGAATAAAAGAGTTGTTAGATACAAAATTCTTCATAGGATGCCTAACACATAGGAAGCATTCAAGAACAGCTGGTTCTTATTCTATTTTAAAATAGCCCAGGGTTCAATGAAAACCACAATAATTTTGTAAGTTAATATGTTTGTGGGTCATTCCCTTTAGTTCCCATTGATCTCCAGAAATGAGGACTGATGAAAACGTTAGGGCGCCCCTTGTAAGAGCATGAGCGGGTTCTGGAGGTGCAGGGCGGTGACGGCTACACCAGGGGACCGTGCTGTCCACTCCGTGTGGTTAAGATGGTAAAATATACATAACATGAAATTTACCATTTTTTTCAAAAGAGTGTAAAATAAGACTCTGGAATGTAATTCTCAACTTCTTTGGTTTTAGCAATGAAGAAAAGAATGCACAGAAACATACAACTTCGTCCCAAAGCCACACAGTGGGCCTCTAACGGTGCTGAGAGGAGAAACCAGTTCCCCAGATTTCCACTACCCAACGGGGCCTCCCGTTACTCACTTACCTGTTGACTTCTCCACCAGACACAGCAAAAGGAAGAGTTGAAGACCAAACTAGTCCATTTGAAAGATACTGTTTTACTAGTTTAATTAGGAGGATGAACAATGAGGGCCCAGAGATTTATATGTATGCGTGTGTGTGTGTGTTGGTATGAGTAATTTAATTATGTATTTGGGGGAGCTAGAATTAGCAATACTCGAGGGTGGGGGGAGATCATGATCTGATATTCAAAATACAATATGCTCCTTTAATGGAGAAGGAAATCATCACAGAAAGCCTTAAAGTCTCAGAAAGCTGGTAAAACAGGGAAAGAAGTTGTGCATTTCTACAAACTTTGTCACTTAAAAGGACTACACAGTAAGATCAGTCCACTGGCTATAATTATGATGAGGGAAAAAAGAGCTCATAAATTCAAAATTTCGGGGAATCATTGGTAATAACAAATGGAAACTGTTTTGCCCTCTGTGATCACCCTAAGGAAACCTAACTTCTCTCATATGAATCATATGGCAAAGGTGACTTTCACATCTCCCTTGGGAATAAATCCAATCTAATAACTATTTCCTGAGCACGTACCATGTGTAGTACACTGTCCTCAGTGCTCAATGTGAAAGCAAAAACAGTGGAAATAATTATTGTCCTCATTGTACAGTGGAGTGGTACCATAGGTCATTTAACTTAAGTGCATGGATAACGTGACTATTTGCATAGCACAGTGATATCTAGAGAACTCTGCTCAATGAGCCTGTGAGCCCATGAGAACAAATAAGAGGGGATGCCCGAATATGCACCTTTTCAGTGAGTCTCAGACCCCATGCTTCTTAGCAAATGTGCGTCTGCCCATTAAGATTAATTTTGATGTTCAAAGCTAAGTGCTTCTTGTACCTCACGGCTTCTGACACAACTAATGCTTTATCTGTTGCACAACTTCAGTCTGTTCCAGGTTCAGAGGAAAATCTGAGACTCTAAAGGGTAATTCTGACTTGTTGATGAATTTTCACCTCATTCCCTGACTCCAGATTAAAAAGCAACTGTATTACTATATGATCATCTAGCCAACTACAGTGTAGGGTATGAGCTGTGGTTAAGAATTAGACTGTTCAGTGTGATTCTCACCTCTACTATTCCACCTGTTGGGTGGTGTTAAACTCTGTGTACCTCAGTTATCGCATCAGTTAAAACTGGGACACAAGCGTACCTACCCTCTTATGGTTGTGATGAACATTAAAAGAGAAATGTAATGTTGTCATTGCCATCATTACTTTTGTTAGGTGTATGCATCCAACCTCAACTCAAGGCAATGTGTGACAAGAGTCACAGCAGAGGTTCAAAGAAAGAAGTGCAGAAAAGCACAATTAAATCTACTGGGAAAGACTGGAAGGGAACTGAGATGTTTTGATGAAGGAAGGGGTGGAGGGGGTGGTTGGAGGGTGGGACAGGGATAGTGGGTGATCAAGAACAATATGAACAAAGGCAGAGTCCTGAATGTCCATGGAAATCCCAAGGAAGGGCAAACATCAGAAGTGGCTACAGGTGGGTAGATTTGTATAGGATGCTTCAGAGACTCCTTGGACCTCAAAATAGGAAGTCTGGAATGCCAGGCCCAGAAGTCACAATTGTTGCAAGCAAAGTGAGCGTCATCAAAGATACTTTAAGCAGAAGTACCTCAGCTCCCCAGTAGAAAATAGCTCATCGTAGAGAGATGGATTAAAAAGGGGAGACCAAGAACAACAATACACGTGAGGAGGATTACGTGATGGCTAGGGCCCAAGGGGAAAGGGAAGGGAAAAAATCAACAGCAGAAACTGAGACAATTCTGGGATGGAACATACCACCCTAGTGTTGAAGCAAAGCTGTGGACAGCTGTCAGCTGTCAAACCATTATCAGCAGACAACCTGGCCCAGGTTTAATGCTAAATGAATGCTAAATGCAGTATAGTCATGCACACTTAACAATGGGGATACAGTCTGAGAAATGTGTTCTCTGGCAATTTCGTTGCTGTGTGAACATCACAGAGTGTATTTAGATGGTACAGACTACTACACACCTAGGCTTTATGGTACAGCCTCTTGCTTCTAGGCTACACACCTGTCCAGCATGTTACTGCACCGAATACCGTTGGTAATTATGACACGATAGTATCTGTGTATCTAAACATATCTACATACAGAACAGGTACAGTAAAAATGTGTTGCAAAGATAAGATGTGGTGCACCCGTACAGGGTACTTACCACGAATGAAGCCTGCAGGTGCTCTGGGTGAGTCGGTGAGTGAATGATGAGCATATGTGAAGGCCTAGGACATTACTGTACACTACTGTAGATTTTATAAACACCGCACACTTAGGCTACACTGAATGTGTAAAACAACATGAGATTAAATCAAGAGCAAGAGAAAATGATGCAATCATGAGACATGGTAAACACGGAAAATGTGAGGCTGCTGCTTGCATAACATGGCATATTGTTTCACAGGGAACTTTTTTATAAGTAGAAAGAGCACGCTCTAAAATAACAACAAAGTTTAGTATAGTAAATACATAAACCAGTAACACAGTCGTTCCTTATCAAGTATTACATACTGTAATGTGTATGCTATCCTTCTATACCGACAGTGCAGTAGGTTTGTTTACGCCAGCACCACCACAAACAGGAGAGTAATGTGTTGTGCTGCAATGTTTCCATAGCTACAATGTCACAGGCGACGGGAATTTTCCAGCCATTATAATCTTATGGAACCACTGTTGTATATGTTGTCCGTCATCGACTGAAACTTATACCGCACATGACTGTACTGGAATAGAAATAAATTCTGCCAACAGCTTTGTATATGCCAAACCTAATCCAATAGCCACGAAGTAGCCAACGCTATCTTATACAGGTCAAATTCTATGTGAACTTTATATCCCCCAATAAAAAGCATGCCAGGCAACACTCATCATGGATGTGTTAGTATAAACACATTTACAGAAACTTTACAAAAAACATATAAGCCAATGGACGCAAGAAATATCCTCACCCTTTATACTTCCATTGCAGTATTTCAACGAGCTCTTCGCATATTTCACAAATGTTTTTAAGCTTTAGTTTCTAAATTAAAATGTATGCTAAATCCCCCTGTAAATCTGGGTTTTAAAAAACGATGCCTAGTTTGAGGGAATGTGCATTTAATTACGATGTCCCTGGGAGCTGTGAATCTCTAGGAAATTGTCCAAAGATCTTTCTTGGTTTGATTCAAGTAATAAATATTCAAAACGGGTGTGGGATAAGGAGAACAACCGACGAAGCCCTGAAGTGAACAATATGAGGCAAATTTTGTTGTTTAAATAACAACCTGCAGAATAAGAATGAACCATAACAATTTCCTTTTCACCATCAAGAGAACCTTCAACCTTAGCTTCTTTGCAGATTTAAACCAGAAATTGGTGTTAAAAAATTAAACAGGATATAAATGCTCAAGATCCCTATACCACTTTTCAGGACAGACTGGCAAATTCATACACACCCAATCAGAGAGGACAAAGGCGGGCACGTCATTTCTTTCTAGATAAAATCAACGAGGGGCGTTATCCTTCTACTTACCTAGAATGTTTTCGTGCCTCAGCATCACAGTGTTGTACAGTTCTGTTTCCCTGAACCACGACTTCTCGTCCCGGGAGGAGAAGATCTTCACAGCGACATTCTCCCCCTGCCAGCTGCCCCTCCACACCTCGCCATACCTGCCTTTTCCTGGGAAAGCAGCACAGAGGTGACTTTGGGTGGGGGGACAGAAGAAGTAGCCAGTACAGTTCATGCCCTGCCACTGTTCACTGGGAAAACTCACTATGAGGATATAAATACCACAACCTTTTACCTGTAAAGGCAGGACCTGTCCCTCCCGGCCACCCCATTGTGATAACAACGTAAACACCCTCAGTATCTGCGCTGTACAATTAGCTGTGAATGACAGTTTTACTTTTAAACTCCTCTATTAAAAGGTATGAAAGACACATGGTTTATGACACCCTCGGAGGGAAGGGGGATGGGAGCCAGGGAGAAATAATCCAAAGAATTTATACGCATATATGCATAACCAGCGGACACAGACAATGGTGCTGCGGGGTGGGGGGAGGGGAACAGGGTGGAGGGAATCAATGTGGGGAGGAGGAACATCTGTAATACTTTCAACAATAAATATAAAAAAAAATTTTTAAAGCACATGAAAGTTGCTAAAACTTAGAAAATGGCAGAGATGATTAAATTCCAGTGTTGTGTTGAAAAACATAAAAGTATATGTGGCCTTCCATATACGTTTATAGTCTCCAACAAGGAGACTGTTAGGTGTGAAATGTGTGTTCTGAAGGATTAAAAAGGCAACCACACGCAGCACACAAAAAACAACACTGCAAAGGAGACGGACAAGCAGCCACGGCCTTCCCGAAAGGATTTCTTGGCGGAGGACAGAGTTCAAAAGCGGATTTGCAAAGTCTTAAACACGTAATCCCAGAGCCGTTCTGATTCCTGACATTGGTCATGGGTATTTGCTTGCTAGCCCTGCAAGCGGGCCACCCTGGAAACGCAACGCGAGGGGACATTTTGCAGAATGTGGTGACTAGTTGCGATGCTTCTGCCGGGTGCTCGCCCTCGCCTGCGGCAGCCACACAACTCTCGGCGTGTCGACTCCGTGCTCCCTCTGCCATTCTTCCCCTTAATTATAGGCAGGGGTGAGCAGGGAGGTTGGGAGGAGGCGGTAATTACCACAAGGCTCTGGGGATCGGCATGGGGTATAATCAAGGGCGACGGCGTCCGCGGCACCTAGATAACCCTGCAGCAGGAGATACAACACGCCGTGCAGGGGGGCTTTCTACCCGGGCAAGTGGCTGCTGGGAATCACGGCTGGTAATAAGCAGCTGTGGCACCACCTGCATAGACAGGAATACGGCTCTTTGCTGGAAAACTAAGCCACTGAGAGCCCAAACATGGAGAGAGAAAGCGTGTCTGTCTGGGTGACTCACCTGAAACATAACCAAAACCACTCAAGCTCGATTTCCTTATGACAAACAATGCCCCTGTTAAATACCGATGATAATCCAAAAGGATGTTGACTGTGCTAAGTGGTCATTGGGAGCCACTGTCAGACCACACAAATAGTGTTTAGTACAAGACTGATTTTAATAAAGTCCATTAATAGTCAATTGCCCAGCATTCGTAGCTCACGATGAAGGTTGGGTTGAAGATACTACAAAATCAGCTGCTGGAAAATGGTAGGCTAATCTTTTCCTGCCTTTGGTTCCCTTCCGTATATTTAGGTGCCCTTTGTTCTTACAGTCTCATTAGGAAGGAGAGAAAAATTTCCCAGAGAATTGCGGACATTACTATAAAGTTCCCTTAAAGCCTTTTTAAAAAGAAAATGGAGATGGATGTCAGGATAAGTAGAAAGAATTAAAATAGAAATATACTTCAATGGTTTTCAAATGCTTTTATGTTGTAAAATGCTTTTTGCAAATGCATCCTTATGAATATGTCCCTGAAAACAGAAGCAGAGCTGCCTAGGGAGCCCCACAAAGGGGATCCCTCAGGCCTCTGAAATTTGGGGGTTCACTGATCATTGCCTGGGGAAAAAAACTGACCTAGTCCAACTTCTTTTGCTTTTGAACCAAAAACGATAACATACTATCCAAGCAAGTAATCACATACATTTTTATTTAAGTCTGTAGCAACGAACACTGTAAGTTATTTAAAAAGGCGTTGCACCCTGGCTGGTTTGGCTCAGCGGTTAGAGCATCCGCCTGCGGTGCTGAGAGACCCGGGTTCGGTTCCCGCTAAGGGCATGTACCTCGGTTGCGGTTTGTCCCTGGCCCTGGTTGGTTGTGTGGGTGGCAGCCACTCGATGTGTTCCTTTCACATCGATGTTTCTCTCTCTCTCTCTGTTCCTCTCTCTCCCTCCCACTCTACCTGAACAAAAAATGGAAAAATGTCCTCGAGTGAGGATAAAAAAAATAAAAATAAATAAATAAATAAAAAGGCGTTGCTTTTATTAAAGACTTTAGCCCTAAACCAACAAAATGTTATGACTGAATTAACATTATTTAAAAAGACTGAAGAATATGTATACAACCAGAAACAGTACGTATTTTTAAGGGTACAATATTATTTTGCCCTTTGGACTCGGGTCAGTCTCAGAGGACTGCCCTGGAGACCGGCTGCTCTGGGAACGCCCTGTGGCCCTGGACGGGGTGGGGGAGGGGGTGAGTGAGCCGGGTACATGGCTCCCTTCACTGCCTTCTCACACTACCCAGAATCCCCAGGTCATCGTCAAATAGGATGTTAATTGGTAGAAAAAGACAATGCTGGTTGTATGCAACGAGCACATGGGGGCATCTCCACTTTTGTTTTCTCCCTGCCGAGAAGCGTGAGTGGTGCTCAGAACAGCTGCAGTAGCTAAAGACCTAGGAGAAGACACCAGGCTCCGTGGGCACCTGTGTGCCTGAGGCGGCCCACTCCGTCTGCCCACCCCCTTCCCCCACAGTCGCCCGTTCATCGCGGTTAATCAGCTCCAGACTCTAGCGCCGCCCCTGGCGTTGAAGGATTCCTGGGGTGCTCGAATACACAGGCCTACAGTCCATCTGTACAGCAATTGTAATTGTAATTGTAATACAGGGGTGTGTAATTGACTCAGACAACTGAGCGTGCGCTGTATCGTTTTCACTGTCTCCATCAACTTTTTAATGAATATATCTGAAAACACCGCGATAGAGTGAAGCTGCGAAAGTCGAAGCGCGAAGTGGCGGACTGTACTGGGTTTAGGGGTGTCCTAGTTTCCGTGAAAACAGGAAGAAGAGCCAGCGCACAACAGCCAAGCGGTGGAGGGAGCCACTTCCCCCAAAGCTGCCCAGTCTAGCCCAGAGAAACCAGGAGGATCAGGAGGAGAGGATGGAGACTTTGCCAACCACATCACCACTGTGGCCATCCCTGCATGGCATCTAAAGGAGAAATTCATAAAAACTATCATGTGGCTGGCAAATATAAGCCACATAAAAGTAAAACTAATAAAAATTGGAACTTTTAAATAAAAGCATGAGGGCCTTGGCTGGTGTGGCTCAGTTGGTTGGGCATCACCCAGTGCACCAAAAAGTTGCCGGTTCGATTCCTGGTCAGGGTACTTGCACGGGCCGTGGGCTCGATCTCCTGTAGGGGGCGTGCAGGAGGCAGCCAACAGATGTTCACTCTCACATTGATGTTTCTCTCTCTCCCCCCCTTCCTCTCTCTCTAAAAATCAATAAAAAGAAAAATCTTTTAAGAAATTAAAAAAATAAACTAAAGCATTAGGTACCATCTCTCTAAGGGGCAATCTGGCAATATATAAAACAAGCCATTAAAAAAAGTCAGATATTTTGACCCAGGAACCCTAAATTCCTAGGAATTTATTCTGAGGACTTAAAAAATGAAGCGATATATACAAAACTTTTCTCAAGCAGTACTGCTAAAGGAAAATGAACATTCAATAGACAATGATAACACAGTCTTTAAAAATACTTATGATGTGTACCAGCACAGGGAAATGTGTGTGAGCTTAAAACTAAATAAAGGGACACAAATTATACACACCCTATGATTCCATCTATGTGTAAATATGTTTCTATATGGAAAAACCGTGAGTGGCCATGGCTCTTGTTTAAATAAAGCAGTCCAAAAGGCAGCTTTGGTAAATTTATTTCATTATTTCTAAAGGCAGGGGAAGAGGGATTAGAAAATCACAATAAGCAAGTTTCCGGTCCAAAAGCCAACTTACCTCAGATCATTCAATACCTACAATCAGGAGCAGCCATATTAATCGTTTCAAGCATTCCCATCATCCCAAAGGGTGTACTTGCAACTGACAGCTGTGGACCAAGCATTCTCTCTACTAACCAATGAGACTATTTGACAAGGCCTTGTCCACGTCCAGGCGCTCCCAAGGCACAAGAAGAACAGACACACAGCCCCACCACACGGCAAGCCCGCCTCTCCTGCTGTTTAACAAGCAACAGGAAACAAGAAGCAGATTTGCCCAAGGGCCGTCCTACTTCTAGAACCACAACTAACACTGCAAATAACCCACAAAGGAAGGGAAAATGAATTACCGACACACTCCAACAGTGTGATCTGACGGGCCACTGTTCTTTGTACCAGGAAAGGAAGACCAGAGCCACTTCCTGACGTACACGAATGATCCAGTAAGTCCTGTGGGTCAAGACAAGGAGAGAAGAAACTCTTAAGACACAGCCCGTGGTTCAGAGCTGAGCATGCACGGCGCAGTAACTCACGCAGAGGCAGCAACCCTGCCGCGTGGCCCGTCAGTGTGCATGAACCGCCCCGATACAGGAAGCACTGGTTTTATTGGGAGAACCAGAAGCTCGTCCTTTCCCTACTACAGGCTAGGTCTTCCTGAGAGATAAGTGGTCCTTCCATGCACCCATGATTTTAGAATTAAATATATAAAGAAGCTGAGTGGACAAGTTGAAGATGCGAATTAGAAAGTCCAGGAAGTAGACTGAGCAAAAGGGGAGCAGTAGAACAGAGAACTTCAAGTCCAAGGGCATAACCGACCATATCCTACTCTGCTTGTCAGTTTCTAGCAAAGGATCCCCTCTAGCTGACATACGAACTAAGGGGCTCTAATGAGAAACATACACATAGGAATAAGGAACACATGACTGTAGTGTTGCTCGTAGTAGAAAGACACCAGTGGCCATGTGGGTCATCAAACCGGTTCACTCAAGCAGAGAGGGGCTACCTGGATGGAGGTGCTACCTCTGAGGTGAGTGAGGCACAAAGGGGTCATAAAATTAACACCTCCGTGCCATTCCTTGATGTCAGCCACGAACCATAGAAAAACTAAAACTTTCACTGAAAACATAAAACCATGCCCCAGCTCTACTTCTAAAAAAGAACATATTGTGAAAAAGATTCCCAATGGGCTCATTCATAAATTTTTCCTTCGTAGGAAAAGCAGCAGCCAAGAAGCAGAGGTCTTTTTGTACCAGAAATGGGCTGTCTGCAGTGGACGGTACAGGGTGTCCCTGCGATGTGGTCAGGCTGCAGTGACAGGGGGCTGACGTTCCTCACGCATCCTTTTCCAAACATTCTAGCTGGCCTGTTAATGCGATACACTGATTTGTTTGAATTTCATCCAATTTTTTTTTTTTTTTTACTTACACTGTGAAGTGCTGTTGATCAGCAAAATTACCAAAAGCTGAACACCCAAAGGAAGACATTTAGAACCCTTAAAAACCACAAAATGGATAATCAACAGAAATTGAGTGTGGCTGAAGTAGACTTCCCATCCCTCTAACCATCTATTTGATGTTCTTTTTTCTCTTTATTCATTCAATTTTTTGAGAGAATAATTCCGAAAATTAAACTAATATGTTATTTTTTTCCCATAATATATCATCCTGGTTCCCAGGATGGGGTTGGGGAGGAAATCAAGCAAAGACAACAAAATATCTATTTCAACTCTAGGACCCCAGGACTTCTTTTTTCAATGTAGGGGAGCTGTTTAGTAAGATGTGCTTTGTTGAGTCAGAAATGAGCAAATTGCTTAAATGAGCAAGTACAAAGACCAATAATGACAACTTGTTTTAAACAGTGTTCTTTACTGTGTTGTTATAGCGTCATCTATAAAAAAAAACAAAAAACCATCATCTCACATGGTTGAGTTGAGAAGGCTATTTTAGCATCTACTCCCATCCCTCTTTCAAAATCATAAAAACGATTTAAATGGTGATTAGTAATCACCTGACTGATGTAGGTTAGAATCTCACTTTCCTAAAGCTTGGTCAGGACTCAGCCTTGCATCGGCTTACTATTAACTCAATAAACTCATTTAATTGTTCTTAAAACATGAAATGAACTTCTACATATATATCTAACAAAATACTGCAATGCTCCACGTTCTGAAATACAATGTCCTCTTTTCCCACTTGTGCTGTACTACAATTTGAATAGGTAGGTAAATGGAACCTAAACAGGGGTCCTTCGCCCTTTTTCGTACCAAAAAGTACACTTGATGAGTGGCCCAGTGATGGGGAAGACGCAGGCTGGGATATTCCCAGCCTGTATCTGCCACCACCCAGTGTTTTAACAGCTCACCCAAAATGGCCCAGGTGTAGCACCTGAGCTACAAAAATTGGTGGGGGTGAGTCTTCTCCAGCAACAAGGAAGTGGTGGAGTGTCAGACACTTTGAAGCTTGCTGCTTAGCAGAGCAAGACTTAACACAAGGTGACCTTAGGTGATACATGATCATGGCATTAAGTAACATTGAATCCCATTACAAAATTATTACCTTGATTATCTTTCAATTGATCAGATTATGAAAAGGAATCTTAATTTGGTACTGGTATGTTTGTTTTGTTTTCTTTTCTTTTAATTCTCACCAGAGGATATTTTTCCATTGATTTTCAGATAGAGTGGGAGGGAGAAAGGGAGGGAGGGAGAGAGAGAGAGAGAAACATCGATGTGAGAGAGACACATCGATTGGTTGCCACCCACACGACCCCAACTGGGACCGCGGACAAACTGCAACCGAGGTAGATGCCCTTGACTAGAATCAAACCTGAAACTCTCTGGTCCACCGACCGACGCTCTAACTGCTGAGCCAAACTGGTCAAGGCAGGGACTGGTATGTTTTTAACATCTCTCTAAACTCACCAATCTTCGCCTTTTTCAGAGTAGGCATCAGACACAGCACAATATCCCTTCAGAGTGTTAGTACTTTTTTCTTTTGTTCTTTATAGTAACCTATTTATAGCAAATGATTCCCTTTTCTCACTTAAAGTTTCTTTTAAATTAAAACTTGACAATTTTAAAATGTAAAAGAGACAGTCACTTTTTAATGAGATTTTATCATTTAAAAATACTGCCCTGGCCAGTATGGCTCAGCGGTTAGAGCGTTGGCCTGCAGACCTAAGAGTCACGGGTTCAATTCCAGTCAAGGGCATGTACCTTGGTTGTGGTTTGTCCCTGGTCCTAATCAGGGTGGTGGGCAGGAGGCAACCATGGATGTCTCTCTTTCTCCCCCCCTTCTCTCCTCCTCCCTCCCACTCTATCTGAAGATAAATGGGAAAAATATCCTCAGGTGAGAATTAAAAAACAAAAAATATGCAAAAAAGTGCTTTTAAAATGCACACATACAGTAGTTTCTAACCCTGTGCTGTTCAGTAGGGTAGCTACTAGGCACATGCTGACCCCGAGCAAGTAAACGGTGGCTGAAATAGGCTGTATATGTAAAATACACACCAGATTTTGAAAACTTAGTTCAAAAAAAGTGTAAAATATCTCATTAATAATTATTTATGGTTATAAGTTAAAATGATAATTATACATACTAGGTTAACTATATTGTTGAAATTAATACCTCCTGGGTTTTTTGGTTTGTTTGTTTTGACTTTTTTTAAGGTGGCTAATAGGAAATTTTAAATTACCTGTGTGGTGCACACATTTCTACTGGACATCACTGGTTTAACCAAATGACTGCACTCCACAAGGGGGCAGCACAGGAGCATGAAAAATTTAATAGCGTCTTTCTTGAATGTCAAGTTTTAAAGTCTTAAATTACAGGGTGTTAAAATAATCTAGAATGAAAACTGATTTTTAATATTAAGCAAAAGGTGCTTTCTATAAAATCACTTTTATTGCTAAAAGCAGAGAAACTGATTAGCATAAATTACAAGGTTCCCCCACCCCCGAACACTATAGGCAACCCTTCTCTGTCCCTTTTCCCTTACTCACCAAAATCTACTAAAGTAAATCCCCTCTCTCATGTAATGTACACGTTGTCTAAAATTAACGTTGTCACACAGGGGAGACTAAACAGGTGCCAGCATTTTCCTGCTTAGGATGTCCGTGGCCAGTGCTCTGTGCGCACACTGTCCAGTCAACAGTTACTGGTTAGGGTTTCATGCTCAAAATAAGAAAGCATCCTCAGCCACCTACATTATGCTTGGGATTCCCCAGAGTCACCAACTCACTGCTAACGTGCTGTCTCCAACATTGGTAGTGATGAGCCCCTCGATGGTACCGTACTCCACATCTCTGGGATTCAGGCGTTCTTGGTTGTGCCTTTTAAATTTTCGGAGAGCGACTCCCAGTAGGCAAGCTAGAAGGCATACTGCAAACACCACAGACAGAATAATGAGGCCGACCTCCAAGTGAAAATTCTGTGTTCCAGGAAAGGATTTCCCTGGAAATGGGGGAGAAAACAGTAATTGGCTGTAAGGATCGCTGTTTACTTATTATTTAATATTTATAACCAATACCCTAACAAGTAGCTCCAGATCCTGAACATAAAGTCTCACATGTCACAAAGTGTTAAGACTAACATGCTTCCTAACACCTGACTAATAGCCCAGTCATTTTAACGATGATTCATTTAGACACAACTGGAAAAAAATCCATTGAGAACCAACTCTAGTAATGCATTTGTGTGAAAGTGCTTTTAAAATATAAAGTACTATACAAATCTCTGGTACTACTCTTATTAACTTGGATTTGATCTGTATGGATGTTTTATCATCAACACCTTGCAGACAGACAATGTGCTCTAATATCCCCAGGAGACAGTGCCGAGTTAAGAACAAACTGCCCAGTCTGTAGTCTCTCCCTCCAGTGTCTTAGATGTCTGTGGCTGACTTCTCATTGATCTTTTTATATCGTGATTTCACCTAGGAACCTATTTCTTCATCTGTTCTTTTACTCACCGTCTTCAACATCCATTCACTCAAAACATGCATTCACTGAGTCACCAGTTCACTCCTTCATTCACACGTTATTTCTTACATTTCCCATTCAAATACATGGTCATGCACTTCAACACCCACATGCCACTCAAGCAAATATTCACAAAGACTTTCTACTGGCCTAGAGAGTTAAATCAAAATTTCTTACTTGGATAGTGAAGGTCCACAATTAAAAGTTCCCAAAATAATAATCCTCTCTGAATTTCAGACATTGTCACCAAGCCCCATTCTTCCTAACGTATGACTTACTCTTTTTCATGTCCCTGGCCCCTTCATTGATCCAATCGCATGCCTACTTTCCTTTATACATTTCTTTTAACTTTCCAAAGCCAAATCCATCAACAATTTGGCAATATAGTCCATGGCACATACCATTTGCACTACAAAGTGTAAAACTAATTATATACAACATTAAATTATAAATATTGTGCCTATGATTACATTAGAAAATCCTTAATGAAAGAAAATAAATTTTCTATTACAACTCAGAGTCTAGCAGAGTATTCTGCAAATTAGGAACTTTTCAAACTGTAGGTAACATTTCTCGTGTGAATGCAGATATTTCTTCATGTCTATCCACTCTTTTAATAAGTGTAACTCAGTATAGTTTATTCCATAAGATAGCCTTTCAGTTTTAACCTTTTAAATACTTGATCTCCCTTTTTAAAATCCTTTTCTATTATTCAAGCCTATGCTTATCAGAATTTAACCTTTTCTATATGCCTTAAGGTCATCACTATAACTTCAAACATTACTGTAACGTGCTCATATATCAGTCTTTTTCATTTTTCCGTCTCCTCCCTTGCTGGCTGACATTTCTGGCAGTGGATGCTCCCAGTATGTCTCTTACTCCACTTTTTGGGTTGTTTCTTCTTTTGTGAGTGCAAAATTAAATAATCATGCCTATTAAAAATGTACGCTATATTGAAAGTAAATATGACTGAGAGTGAATCTACAAAGACTAAGGTACATTAATATTTGTAGGGACTTTTGAGATAGCAATTTTGGGATCATTTTATGGGGAAACATTTCCAGAGGAGGACTATGAAATTCATACTGAATAAAATGCAGAGAAGATTCCACATCAACTACAAGGTTCGTGTGGCATCTCCATGGCTTCAAATTTCAGCGATAGATCACTGGGAATCAGACAGGAGAGGAGAGTTTGGGGAGCCTTTTTCTATTTCTCGCCTCATAAAGAAGAAAAGGTATTCCATGCGGGCCCCCTAGGACCTTATATTCCATTTCCCTCCCTGCACTCTCGATGCAGAGATGAGTATTTACTAAGCAGATTTTTCCAGACATCATGCATGGCATCAGGGTTCATTAACCGAAAAGGATGTCAGGAGCTGTTCACCTGCTCGTGACCGTAGAGAGACATCTGGTCCCTCCTCCTTTTAGATGCCAAAGGCTGTGCCTCTCTCCTCCTCACCTAGAACTACTCCCTATCACCACTGCCTCTGGTTCAGAGGCGGAGGAAAGACCTGCGGTGCTCACGCGGTAACCCACACAGAATCAGCACAGCCCTGACAAAAGTCCTCGATCTAGAAATGAACAGTCCATGGGAACCTTTAGTGGGCAGCTGGGCCGTGATGTTCCTGTTACACCAGTCCCCTTGGCAGCACTCCACGGCTTGGCCAGGCGAGGGGGGGGTCTTGCAGGTCATCTTCCCCTGCTCGTAGACCTGGAAGCAGCCCTTCTGGTAGACGTGGAAGCCATCGTTGATGCTCAGAGAGGAGAAGCACTGCTGGCCTTCGCAATGGTCCTCGTTCCCGCAGGAAAGGCCTTCACACACGCACATGTACAGTCTGGGGCTTACCTTGGGCTTCTCGTCTGCAGCGGGAGAGAAGGGAAGGGGGGGTAATCACTGAATGGATTTTACACACACTGGGGGAATAATACAGTTTCCCCAAGGCCACTGTCCGCATTCTGTGATCTTGTACTCTCACTTGACCAACTGCCAAGTAATAACCACTTCTCAGTATTTGAATGCATTTGCATAAGCTGTCTACTCTCCGAGATCCTACTCGGCCAAAGAATGGTTATCATCTGTCCACAGGATTCGGAATGAACGTCTCCCACTGTGGTTTTCATGTCTCTTCAGCCTTATGGGCTCTCCTCTCCCAATTCTTGCATCAAAATAAAATGTTTTACCAGAACATAATGCTCATCTCTTTTATTTTATGTTAAAAAAAAAAAAAAATGGTTCCTGCCCAGCTGGTATGGCTCAGTGGTTGAGCGTCGACCCATGCACCAAGAGGTCGCTGGTTCGATTCCCAGTCAGAGCACATGCCCAGGTTGTGAGTCAAATCCCCAGGTGGGGGCATGCAGGAGGTGGCCAGTCAATATTCTCTCTCATCAATGTTTCTATCTGTCTCTCCCTCTCCCTTCCTCTCTCTAAAATCAATACAGGAAACAAAATTATTAAATGGTTCCTAAATAATATGCTTGCTGTTAATACCAGTTCCTGCTAGCTCCATACAAATCTCCATCAACCAGTAATACCAGAAATGTCCACGTTCCCGCTGTTACCAGTCTGCTTCGGAAATATACCAGTATGATAAGAGTTTACAAGTCTATAATTGCAAATCCATATTATCAATATTTTAAGCTCGATCCCTTGACTAATTTTTCAGTAGTAGTACTCCTGAAGTTTTTACATTAATTACAATGGAAATGCAGTGCTGCTTACATATTTTCAACTGGCAGAAAAAAGTCTGACATTAATTATTGAGGATGAGGGCACAGGAAGACAAAGGGACTAGAACAATGTCTGAACAATAAGGTTACAGATGGATCCAAGGCCCAGCCCACACCTGGTGGGTCCAACATGCAACTGGAAGAGGCAGAACTGTATCATCAGAGAAACACACCTAAGCAGACCTAACTGTCTCTTTCTCAGAACACCCATTTACAGTTTCATTTTTCACATCGTTCTTTCTCTTCCCCATCCCTTGTTAGATGCTTGGTTCAGACTTGCTGGCCCCAACAGTTTCTACTAGTTGGGAAGGGAAGTGAGGAGAGAACATAAACAGGCAGGTCCTAGCAGCCGCCGGTTGGTTAGTTGGCGGAGGTCGCCTTCGCCGAAGCACACTGTCCACGTCAGGAACTGCAGCGCCCAGAGCGCCCCTGGATGGTCTCAGATGCAGGCAGTCTGCCTCCTGATCCCGAACCCTCGGCCACAGGTCTGCGAGGCAGCTGCAGCTTTTCTTAAAATAACAGGTCGGGTGGCTGTGTTTTTAAGAAACCTTAAGGTAAGGTCTCTGAAAATGTCAAGTTCATTTACACAGATTTACGTGGGTGCGTGCAGAGATGTGGGTTATCTCCAAAAGAAAAAAGCATTCTTAATCTTTCTTCTTCCCTCTTCAAAGTGAAAATAGTTCCCTGCCCACTGAAATGTGGGTGCCTCGTCCCACAGAGTAAGTGCATGCAGACACAGACACAGGCCTTCTATTTATAATTGACTTGCTAGTTCTTTTGAAAACCACAAGGGGCTCATCCAAGAGCAAAGACATGCCTGGAAGCAGAAAATCCAAAATAGCCGCTGACAGTGTATGTATGTCACCAACTCACCCCGGAGAATCAAAAGCCCTCAGACATTTTTGATGAGCAAAAACTTTAATGAGCCAAGAGATAGTCTTTATTTTCCCTGCCTAGAGAAATCCAAGAGAAATTACAGCTCCGATCTATTTCTATGAGGATGAGAAACATATATATCTGTTGACATAATCTAGCAAAAGTTTACACTTGCCAAAAGCAAGTTGAAAGATAATATTTCTAGGGAGTCTAGACATGCTTGCCACTCTTGAATGGCACAAAGCTGGCTGAGGGCTGCCAACTATGCTGCCCAACAGGTGATGATTCTTTGGAGGGAAATGGATGGGCAGAAGTAAGGACAGGGGCAGTTAATGCTGTTATAATGATGTGTTTGTGATCTAGAACAGGGAATTAGAAAGACTATATTTTAAAACTGTGTAATAATGCAATTTATGTAAATTTCAAACATAAGCATCTATTTTAAAATGCTAAATATTTTTTAAAGACCATATATATCCAACGATACATACCTAACACATTAAAGAGATTGTCTGTCAATGCTAGGTTGGGGTTGGGACAAAAGGTTAAAATAAAAATAAAATAGGAGATTAGATGTTCACAGACTGATAATGGATTAAACACTACAAATTACCTAACTTGCTGTACCTGCTATGGTCCACTAGGAACAACTATAAACAAGTAAAGTCGACTCTCCATCTGCCGGTTCTGCCTCCACAGATTCAACAAACCACTGATAGAAAATATTTGAAAAAAGTGTTACATTGTGGCTGATGTATATATACTATGTAGTCAAGCCCACAATGACTATATCTGTACTGAACATGTACAGTTTTTTCTTGTCATTATTCCCTAAACAATATAGTATAACAACTATTTACACAGCATTTACACTGTATTAGGTACTGAAAGTAATCTGGCAATGACTTAAATATGGGAGGATGTACACAGGTCATATACTCCTCTTGGTCATGTACAGATTTTGGGGGTCATGGAGCCAATTTCCAGAGGATGCCAGGGGACAACTGTAACTTTAGACCATAGAGGGCTCACTCATTACTGGTCCTATGGAAATGGATGGTCCAGAGGACCAAAGAATTGATGACACTTGTGGTTCTAATAAAAAATATCAAATTAAGAAAAAAAACAACTAATTTTTCTAATGTGCTCTCAGAGTGAAGTCTACTTTTAAAGTTCCAGCCCAAACTAAACTCTAGGCCCACTGATGGTCTATAGTTTTTGTTTTGTTTTTAATTTTTTTTCTTTATTGATTTTAGAGAAAGAGGAAGGGAGAGGGAGAGAGATAGAAACATCAATGGAGAGAACATCAATTGGCCGCCTCCTGCATGCCCCACACTGGGGATTTGGCCTACAACCTGTGCATGTGCCCTGACCAAGAATCGAACCAGCGACCTCCTGGTGCATGGGTTGATGCTCAACCACTGAGCCACACCAGCTGGGCCCACGGTCTATAGTTTCTAACAAGACAGGGGGACAGTCTGACAGAGGTTTGGACTGTAACTTAAGAATTCTGCCATAATTGAACAGCCCAACCTCAAGTAAATACACTCTTCAGTAAAATATTCAACCCACTGTACCCACTATGAGATCATAAATTGAGTCAAAGGGGTTCACCCATATATCGAAGTCTCCTGAATCTTTATAAGCCTATAGCAGTTGAGTATAGATGACCAGGGTTAACTACCTTTAAGGCGATGATTCTTTTCTGTAAGAGTTCCAAAAAACAGGCTTTTCATCTCCTCCCTTCCACAATCAAGAAAAAGAAAAAAAGGTAAGAAAGACAGCTATTAATGATGTGTAATAATTAACTCAAGCCCTGCCGGTGTGGCTCAGTGGTTGAGTGGCGACCCATGCACCAAGCGGTCATCGGTTCGATTCCTGGTCAGGACACATGCCCAGGTTGTGGGCCCAATCCCAGTGGGGGGCATGCAGGAGGTGGCCAATCAATGCTCTCTCTCATCGATGTTCTCATCTCTCTCTCCCTCTCCCTTCCTCTCTCTCTAAAATCAATAAAGAAATAATAATAATAATTAATAATAACAGTAACAATTAACTCAAACTCAGATCTGGAGGAGTTAGGAGCTCAGTTCAGCAGTTAGCCACTGGGAAAATACAAAACCTGTACCAACTTCTTCCTAGTGTGCTTCTCACCAAGATTTCATCCTCTTAATTTGTATATTCCCATATAACTAATTAGCAGAGCTAATTATCTATTTTTCATACACAGCCAAATATACAGACCTTAAATTCATAGAACATAAAAATGACCACACGCACCCATGGGCACACACATACACGTAAGTTAAACGCCACTGTGGCAACTTTATCTAACAAGGTGGATTAGTCAAAGAGATGCCAAAAGTTTTCTGAGCTAGGATTACTAATTCAACGAAGAAAGTAGCATTTTCAGACCTTAATATCCACAATTCTAAGGCCCCAGAATGCCCATGATTCACGGTTTTAATCTTGTCAATATTGAGGAATAAATATAACATGTGTGGGCCTATGATATTTTATTTGGGGTGGGACTGTGGTGGGAAGGGAGTGGGGGTTCGAGAATGATCACAAAACCCTTTTTAGGGCCAAAGGCAAGTGTCTGCGGACCTCTAGTCTCTCAGACTGAGACGAACACAGCGCACAGCAAGGAAAGCCCAGGCCAGTCGCCTGCTCGGTGCATCGTCCCTGCACGGACAGGCGGCGTCCTACCGATGTGCAGGGTCTGACGCCTGCTATGCAAACAACCAGGAAGTGCCCTGGCAGAAGGCAGCAGTCTACTCCACCTAACTGACAGTGGGTTAAATAATTCAGTAATTTCAAAGTCAAGCCAGAGGTATTCCCTCTCTGAGGAGCACCCACCTGTTCTAAAAGCACCTCCCGCATGGCTCAGTTAGGGCTGGCACTGCCGGTCCCCTGTACCACTGGGGCAGGACCCCGCAAACACAGCAGCAGGGAGGTCGAAGCCCCCTGGGAGGATCCAGGGCTGGCTCCCCAACCGGAGGAGGAGGCTCAGAATTCCAGGGGTTCACCACGGCCAAATCTTTTAAAAGATATTTTTTGTTCCGGGCAAATACCTCACCATATGACTCAGCTCTTCTCATGGCCCGGTCGTCGACTGGCAGAGGAAGAGGGAGCGCCGAGCGCCGTGGACTTTTTAAGCGTGTCCACAGTCTGGGGTAATCGTGTACTTCAGAGTAAAAGTGTTCACAGGTGCGTTGTAAGAGGGACTTGAGCAATCCGGGCACCACAGGGTGGGGCCC